TCAGCGTGCCTTCGCCATTTCTTCCGTTTGTCTTTGAACCATCCTCGCCGGATCGGGGCTCCGGCTGGCGAGGGGGGGTGTTAGCGTCAAATCCGTGCTTCCACGCATTTGAACACTCCCACTGCTTTCGCACACACTCAGCATCGGTCGCTATGGGTCTTCCTATTGGTATTCCATAGCTACGACGACCTCACACATTGACACCTACTTTTGGACCCCCTGGGCTTGATCCTCCTCGTGGCAGTCACATGAGTAAACACCGCGTGTGACGCGGTCCCCACGATGCCTGGGCAGCTGCCCTGGGGCAATAAGCTTGTGGCTACTGTTGTTTCCCTTTGTTGTGACACCTGCGGTCGGGCACGAGTTGCACTTTCCCTATCCTCGGGATTGAGCGACTCTACAGCTATTCTAACGGTGCACCTGGTCTGGTCACTGTGAATGCTTGCCGACCGCAGGTACGTCAAGCCCTCTGCCATTCTGTCTTCCCCTTGCTCTCCTGTGTGCTCTGCTCTCTTGTGACTTTCCCTATCCTCGGGATTGAGCGACTCTACAGCTATTCTAACGGTGCACCTGGTCTGGTCACTGTGAATGCTTGCCGACCGCAGCTGGTTCAATTGACCTCAAGACACCACCAAAGCTTTCGCTCCGCTCCGACGGACGTCTCTCAAACCTCTCTCAAAACGCTTCCTCAAACCTACGCGCTTCCTCGCAACCCAAAGACGGCCTCCAGACGTGCTGGAGCCTGACAGGATGTTATTGCCCTCATGTCAATTGAACCAGTCGGGTACGTCCAAATACGGCACGAACCACACCTAATACACTTCTTCGCTCACGCCAAAAAGAAGGCGAGAAGACGAAACGCGAGCCAATGAGCAGAGCGTTGGAAAGTAGAAAAAAACGCCCTGGCCTTACAAAATCTTAAACCGCCCACAGCGGCTGAAAAATGCGGCCAAAAAGACAGCATTGACCCCTAAGCTCGAGTCACAGGCCACGGTCACGCACTCGATCACGCTGCTGAAGTGACGCGCAGCATGCTCCTGAAATCGTTCATCGCTCATTGCCAACATCTCTCGGAGAATCAAGTTGATGATGGGCAGCCAAATTTCACGTGTATCGGGACCAACGTGTGCCAAGTACCACTTGAGGGTGTAGCTGCACATCTCGTTGATGCGCTCCTCGACCTCAGGCCAAATTTCGCGACGGTCCTCCGTCTCATACAGTCGAAATAAGATGCGCAACGAACAGGAGAGCGCCGTTGTTTCCTGCTTCAGCAAATTGGGCTTGCTGCGGTTACGCATGAAGCCTGCCTCCCACAACGCCGTGCGTAAATCATCGTTGGCATTGAAATCATGCGCAAACTGGTAGCTCTCCACCAGGCAGCCCAGTAAAATTAAAAGGCGCTCCGAAGTGAGACACGCAAACATCTCACCAGCTTGATCCAGCGGCATGGCCAGCGCTTTGCCCTCCTGCTCGTATCGCCCTCGGTTGAGCGCTGTCTGATTACCTTCCTGAGAGAGGGATGGCACGTGCAGACGACGCTTGACCGGGGCCTCGGACTCGGGGCGCGTTGAGGAGAGAACAATCCATTCGACTGTTTGGATCAGTTCAAGCTGAACCACACACTTGATGATGATCTTGCTAAAGAGGGCTTGCTGATTCGGCTGTGGTTGTGCCGCACGCTTGGGCAACGGCGTGGCATCAGCATCGTCGGCCGCCTCTGCCAAAAGTGCCGCCCCGCCCTTGGCAGGCTTGGCCGACTTGTCGGCCGGAGCACCGCCGGCTTCGGTCTTGCTAGATGACTGCTCGGCAGTCGACTTGGTGTCAGCACCACCCTCAGCCACCACAGCCTGCACCTGTTCAACACCGCCCACGTCACCCGAGGGGCGCGGGCCTTTGGGCTTGCCATTCGCATCGCTGCTGTTCTGGGCCTCCGACGCCTGCTGCTTTTGCTGAACCCTTTGCTTCTGCTCAGCACGCTCACGAGCTCGACGCTGCTGCTCAGCCCCAAACTCGATAAGCTCCACAGGCTTGGTGTTGGTGAAGAGCGACTTCAAACAGTCGCAAATTGCAGACCAGCTGGCGTCGGTGAAGTTAAAGCCATTGCTCATGACCAAAATGTGCAGGCACTCTGCTCCTGTCCGTGCCAATTGTTCGCTTTCCTGCAAAATGGACCACTCCAGAAGCTTGAGCAGGTCGGGGAGGACGCACTCTTGGAGCGTGTCAAAGAATTGGGAGACAACATCAACGATCGAGCGCAAGGCGTGGGTGCATGTTGTCGACATCCACTCATTGCGTTCTTGAGCCGTGGTCATGCCATGCAATTTTTTGCCGTCAAAGATGCGAAAAACAACGCGGAAGAGGTCCGTCCACCACTGCGCCAGAAATTGCTCGCCGTACGTCTTCATAATCTCAAACATGACGGTGAGTGCCCGTGTGCGGACATCCAGCTTGCAACGGTCGATAATGCGGGAGAGGCCAAAGAGAACGGGGAACCAGCCGCGGACCCAAATCTGCGGCTCGGGTTCCGCCTCCTCCTGGGGGTTGGTAAACAGTTCGGGCATGTCAGCCACGGCCGATGCGCACAAGCGCAGCTGGCGGATGGCATCCATGCTCAGTTCGGGGAAATGGCTATTGCATGCAAACTCGGAGAGGCAATTGACGGCATCCATGAAGGAGGCAGCAATCAGGGATGCTCGATGATCGTTGGTCTTGGAAAAGTAATTCTCGAAAATGTGCTTGGTGGTGGTAAAGGCTAGGTTAACAATGTTCTGGTCGCTGTCGCTGGCGGCCAGTGAAAAGACGAAAAACATGTTCTTCCAGCCAGAGCGAATGTTGTTGGCTTTGCTCTGAACCATATTGGCAACGCAGCGCACCACCATGTCACGAAGCTTCACCGACTTGTTGTGGGACATGATGTACTCAAAGGGTCGCAAAAAGTCCTTTTGAAAGCTGTAGTTGGCCAATTCACCCTTCTCCAAGAACTTGATTGATAACTGCCGAAGCGAGTCGACGGCAAAAAAGGCAACGTCCTCGTTGGTCATGCAGCCGACGCGGTTGAAGTACTCGCCCATGATGGCCCAGATGTGCGCCCACTCGAGGCGAATGCGCTCCATGTTATAGTAGGCAATCTCAACCGTCTTGGTGAGGCTGTACATGCGCGGGGGCGTGTGCTGCGTCAGCTCTTCAATGGAAACCTCGCAGAGCGCGCGGACAAACTCAACAACGGCCTTGCCATCCAGCTTCTTGCTGGAGGTGAAGATCTTGTCCGCTGCCACCACAATGTCCTGCGACGCGGTCTCGGACAGGTACTCTGAGCGGCGACGATTGGAGCTGCCAGTCAGTTGGGCGAGCTCGAGCTGGCTAACGCAAGTCAGAATGTCCTTCCACGAGGCACCGAGGTAGTCGCCCTCGTGGATGCCCACGTCCAGGATGCAGCGGACCGCCTCGACGTTCTTTGGACGGATCTCCGCAAAGTTGTTGAGGTTGGTAAACTTGGCCAGGGCCGGAACAAAGGCTTCGCGCTCCAGCTGAAGATCAAAGATACAGGCGATATGGATGCACAGGCGTAGGCCCAACAGACATTCGTCGATGACGTGCGTGTCGTTGCTCTCGTTGAGAGGCACTGTAAAGCCAGCCATGAGCGACGTCCAGACAGTCTGGAAGAGGGGCTTGACGTGTTCCGACTGCGTGGCGGTGAGAAACTCAGAGTCGGTGCGACCAGCATGGGCCTTGGTCATGGCCTCTTCAGCCGAAGCCTCGAGGTTCTTGCGCTCCTCGTGGTAGAGCTGGGCCCGGACGCGCGGCGTGGCATTCTGCAGCTCCGAGCCGTACGAACGCTGATTACCGGACTTGCCCTTGAGCTTGATTTCCTCGCGAGCGATGTCATCAAAAATGCCCTCCACAAAGTCGCGCGGCAGGTCGCGGTTGTCGTTGATACCCCGCGTCATGTTCAAAAAGCCCTCCTTGGTGATTTTGTTCTTCACCTGTCAAACATGACCAGAGATTTTCAGATGATGAGGCGAGGCCTGCCTTGCAGGGTACAAACGGCAGTTGCAGGGCGCGCCATTGAGTACCTTGCTCGAATGCAGGTCGGTTGTCAGCATAATGACGGAAAAGGCCAACACGTAGGCGGCATCAGCTGAGGCAAAGACACCCTGTGCCTTGTGCAGCTCATAATAGCGCGCGGCAAACTTTTCCATCAGCCGATCAATTTTTTGCGACTCGCCCGGCAATCGAAAGCTCCCCTGCACATAGTTCGTTGAGCAGTGAGAAACTTTGGTAGGGCGGGGCCATGGGCACGCATGCAGCTGCCCGAACAGCAGACACGGGGATGCACTGGGATGAGCGGCGAGCGGGGCAACGCACCAAGAAAAAGCGTAGAGACGAGAGGAATTCTGGATGGCGGCTAAAATCAATGAGGTCAATGTAGCGATGCATGACCCGGATGCAGCGTGCATCGCCTTCGCCCAGGTATTCGCCAATGGCTGTGCGGTCGAGGCGCTCTTCAGAGTGAAGGAACTCGGCAATGGCATCATCCGTGTCCTCTAGAAAGTGATTCTCAATCAGATATTTGATACCTTTGCGAGGCTTGTTGTTGAAGAGCGTAATGCCTGCCTCGCGCTGAGCCTTCTTTTGCTTGCGTTCGGCAAACTGCAAAGCCTCATCAGCCTGAGCACGTGCGGCGCTGTCAGCGGCATCAGCGTCGCTCTCACTGACGGCATCGGCTTCGCTGCGCGAGTCATCGTCGGTCGCAAAGAGCGGGCGGCTCCACTCATCTAGGCAGCGCATCAGAGAGGCCAGGCACTCGACGCCCTTCACCTTCATGTTGCTCTCCTGTTGTGGCGAGGCCCCCAGCTCAGAAGAGGCACGGCCCTGGGCCACGCGCGAGAGATTATTGATCATGCGTTCAAGAACATTGGCCAAGTACTCGTCACAATCGTAGTTGAGATACAGGTCGATGACGGTCTGCTTGTCCCGGGCAATCTTGGAGAGGGTGACCACGACCAGCCACTTGTGGCGAAAGGAAGATAGCGAGGTCTCGAGCATGCTGAACAGGATATCCTTGAGGAAGACCTCGATTTGCATCTTGAGGTACTGCTTAAACTTGGTAAGCAGCATCATAAAGATGGCCAGGGCCAATTCAAAGACCTCTGGTACGTGGCTGACGCCGTTCTTTGAGAGAGCCACGCACAGATACTGTTTGATGCCGTCGATAAAGAGTGGGTCCTGACGAAACCAATCGCCCGCACTCTGCAGGATGGCCAGTTGCAGTTCAAGGCTGAGGATTTTGCTCCTGAGCTCGTGCGACTTTGCGTCAATCTCCTTCGCAGGCAAATCCTTCATGGAAAGCTTGCACATGGAACGCAACACGAGAAACGCATCTTTGCGATAAACGTGACCATAGCGTGGGTCCTGTAAAGCTCGCTCCGAGCCTTGACGTCCCAGAGCGGCGGGCTCAGTCTTATCTACACGGTACCAAAAACAATGGTGGGCATTGACAGCAACGGGACAGCGACGGCTAAGAGCAAGACGGTTGGAACAAAGGCCAACCTGACTGGTCTGCCTCATCCGTGGGCGATCCGGGTGGATTAATGGCACGCTCAACAATGTCGCTCACGACGCGCTGCACGACGGCCAGCGCTTCAGTTTTGGCTTCCACAGCAGCGCCATCAACGACGCCTGCTGCCTCAGGCTGGGCTGCGGGAGTAGCGCCGTTCTCGGCCGCGGCTGAATGCGTGTCAGGCGCCGTCATGATTGCGGTTGCCATGTCATCGGTGGTCGTCTGAACAAGGGATTGTG